GTGCATTCCCTTTAGATTGAGTATTTGAGTAGTACTCTCAGTACTTTCAGTGAGTTCAGAACGAGTGTGATGACTTCGTACGCTCAATAACCCGCCGCCGCCACCCCCCCCCCTCATTTTATCCATCAATACGTCGTGGAATGTGAGAGCAGGGAGGTGAGCGAGAGGGGGGGGGGGGCGCTGCTGTGTCATCCGGCCGCCTCCCCCCTCCCCGCCGCCGTAAAGACCCTCTGCGTCTCTGCCCTTTACGACCCTACGTTCCCAAGCTCTTGATACGACCCCGTGGCGGCGATTACTCCCTCTCTGCACGCTGGACTCTGCCCCCAGTTGTGACCTTTCACTGCGATTGCGCCCCTCGCCGAGTGGGGCGACCTCTATTCTCCTCACACTTTCCCAGCTACCCATCCACTGATGGACCCCAACTATTTTCGCTCGCTAGAGCAAGCTGCTGTGCAATTTATTCGAGCTTGTGAAACTATGTGTAACGCCGGTGTGACTGATTCTGATGGTAATCAAGTCGATGTGCTTCCAAACATTGATGGTCCTTCTTCATCACCTGCTCCTGACTGCCCATCATTCGGCTTGCCACCACTTCTCGTCAAACAAGAAGCACCTCCAGAACCTACCGAACAGCCGCATCCTGCCGACCAACTCAATCCGGAGGACGATGCTGAATCTCAGATTACTATTGTTGATCCTTTGGCTCTTCTGTCGAGTTGCAGTTCTAATGGAAATGGAGAATGGGTTGCTGCACCGGGCAATAATCGAATGTCATATTCTCGTGAATTCAAACTAATGGTTATCGACTATTACCACAGAAATGGCCAGAACAAGTATCGAACTTGCAAGGAATTCCACATCACTAAATCTATGCTAAAAGGATGGCTATCAAGGGTGCGTTTATTTACTTTGTGGATTCCTAAGCTTTGTACGTAACTATTATTCTTATTTTTCATTAAAATTTAACATTTTTTGAAAGTAATTACTCAGTAGAACAAAATTACGCGAAACTACGCTAGAATTTCGTGTGGTCATGAGCAATTAGTGTAATTACCTGCGCCCCTTTTTTTTGAAAGTGAATTTTTGAAAGTTCAGGTTGTTTAATGACTTTCGGAACTATATTATAACCATAACTATATTCAACTACATTAAACCATATAACTATATTGATCTAAATTTATATTTCAAAATTATATATGGTGATGTACTTGTTTTCTTTTGTAACGTAACATCCTGAAAGGTTGTCACGCATTTTGCTTCCCAAAAATGCCTCCTATGAATTTACGCTACATTCCATCAATCACCGTTAAATTCCTAATGATTCTTCATTTTCATGCGTCCAAAATATTCACATCACTTTGAAGTTTTAGTTAGTTTTGTTCAGCTGTATAGCGTTAAACTGCCTGATGTTGACTCAGTAGGATCTTTTTTTTTTTCCGAAAAGACCACCTGCTAATCAAGAAAGAAAACCTCATGTAAACAAAATAACCTTGAAAGAAATGTACGATTCTTTCGCTCCTTCCTAGACAACTTTATTGCTTTATTAGTCCCGGGAGTTTGAAAACTGATTACATCGATGATCAAACCACCAGTAAACTTACACCGCTATCTTACTTAGGTATATCCATTGAAAATATCCTGATATCACCTCATAATTTTGTACTATAAATAACTTTAAAGATCATATTTTTAGTCAGTACACTGCCAGTCCGTCTAGCTGACATGTGCATAAAAAGAAAAAGTAGAATGTAGTGTAATGATCGATGAAGTCGCCTATACCTTGTGAGCGGTTGTTTTTTGCATACCTCAATCCCAACAGAACACCCTTGACAAAGCTTAACCTTGGTTCAAGACACAGTTATATTCAGCCTTTTTGAACATAGAGAAATTTAAAATAATGACATTTATGCCGGTAATTATCAGCTAACGGCCCGTTATTGCGGAATTTGGACGATTTATGGGCGCGTATCACTCATTTCGCGCTCATCAGGGAGTACACATATCGCATAGATGCGGAATCATAAATCCTCGTATTTGATAAAACTGCGAACTGTTCCTTGTTTTTAACGGCTGGCTTAGCTAATTCGTCGGAGAAAATTGGCCATATTTATTTTTTTCTTAGTGAAAAACTACTTTTGCAGTGTCTAGCATTGTGCTGTGAAGTCGAGGGAAATGTTTTCATTCTCAAGCTACGTGAAAACGCGATTCATGCAAACCATTTCCTTGTCAACGCGTAATATGCAGAATTTCTGCGCTAAACCTCTTCGAATTTTTCGCAATTGATTTCCCGAAAAATAGATATAAAACGACCACCCTAAAGCAGTGCCAATTTTTGGCAACTGATTCGAGGGCCCTGGCGCTGTCACATTTTCACTGATCGTAAACGTTTATTGATTTTTTGATCGCTAAGTCCTTATTGGTAATATCACACTTCTGGTCACGCTAAGAGGGCAGCGCCATAAATTGTGACCTGACACGGCCTCCTCCGCCTTTTGAGTGCCCTCTCTACTTATGGATCAATCGTCAACCATCGAACGGCGCTGACGTGAAACAGGAAGCGTCTTGACCCCGACCTTCTTCTTCTGAGCGCAAAAAAGGTATTCACGCCTGTTCCATACATAGATTTCTATCGGGTAGTGGCCCTTCAAAGTCAGGATGTCACGGACTCGTGCGGGGACCAATAATTGATTTTTGTTAGAATTGAACGTATAGATAATTGAAATTGGCGTCAGAGCTTGAGCACCATTTATGAGTGATAAAAAAAAAACAAGCATGTCTAGCATTTTATCGGCTAACATGACATTCCAGCGCATTTCCTAGCCAACAAAGAACGGCCCTAAATTCCTGCAATAAAAGAAGAAAAGATATTTTATTGGGAGAAATGGTTATGCATAACAAAGTGAAGCTTGTTGGTTTCAGTATCGTCTCTGGGTTCGTTTCGCCTCTTTACTCAGACGAACCACTATATTAAAAATTCGTAATAAATTCAAAACAATTCATAATAACTTAATATTAGTGATTTGTCATTTGAATGGTATAAATATAGTGTACGTTAAGCAAAAATTAACCACTTATTGAATTTTTGATAAGTTTCTCAGCGGTGAAATGAAAATGTTTGGATGTCGAAATATGGGCAGGTACAACTTGTTTTTTTTTTATCGCGAAGGACTATCAAAGAACAGATTTGAAGAACTCAGATAAAAGTGAAAGCATTGAAATCTTTCTCATACATCTAATCCAAAAAGCAAATTAGTTCGGGCAAAATTAGAATATAAACCTCTGCTAAAATTTTTAATCACAAGTACTTTTCACTATTTCTTTCAGATCGATAAGATTCGTGAATCGCGACCTGGCTCGTTGAAATCTGGCAGAACTGGACGACGTCCCGACATCGAGAAGCGGCTGTTCGCGATGTACTGCAAACGACTAGAGACTGGTCTTAAAGTGAGCAATCGCTGGTTGAGAGAAAGAGCTCGCGAATTGGCTGGAGATGTCAACGCCGTTTGTCAGTTTTCGGATCGATGGCTGAGAAATTTCAAAAAGCGTTTCCACATAGATCTTCAACGCGGCAATATGGACAGTTCTCATTCCAATTCGGATGATCCAATGGACGCTGACAAATCATTCCCGGATACAGACTCCATCACTGATCCTACTGAGCTCGATGTTGGTCTCCGCAACGAGGTGGTTGCTGAAATTGTCAACCAAACGGAACAACTCCCGATCCAAGCGTTTTATGAGAAGTTTCCATTGCTCTCCAAGAAAGACACTCCTGTTGGGACAGGGAAACGTGGACGAAAAGCGCAGTTCCCGGATGTCGAACGAGTGCTTTACCAGCGTTTCATTTCCAGAATGAATGACGGTGAGCGCATCTCAAATCGATGGCTGCAAGATCAAGCTCGTGAATTGGCTGCTGAGATGTACGCTGGCGCCGAAGACACTGTGAAGTCATCACGATGCCTGTTTTCCGAACGATGGCTTGCCAACTTCAAGAAACGCTACAACATCAGTCTTAAGAATAAAACCGTGACCACGTTCAAGCAAGAGGAACAGATGGAGGACAACATCGTCGAGTTGGATCATTCGTCTCCCCCATGCGAAGAGATCGACGTCAATACAGTTCTTACGGCATGGCTTATGAACCAAACCGACATACCGCCGCTTTCTTCACCGGGTAATTCAAAATCTTAATGATTTTACATGTTCTCCCTTTCCTTCGGGTTATACAGTCACAAGCGTAACCATATACTACTGTGAAGTTCCGCTGTACTATTGGTGATTTTATCCTGTTATTTGCGTTTTACTTGACATATATCAATTCTTCAATAAATATGAGTGATACTTAGAATGAAATTTGATTAAAACATGAAATTGTTTGCACTCTAATCAAGTCACCAATGGTTTCGAGTATTGACGGGTACTTCTCACAATTCAGCACTTGTAAATACATAATGATTGGTTGCTTCTTGAAGACTAAACCACATGTGTACCAAGTACAGTAAAGACAGTTGGATTAGAAACCATCATCTTGTTTATGAAAAATAATGGTGTTGCAGTCAGTACGTGATTGGTGCTCTTACAAAATTAGGTATGTACTAATAAGAAGTGTTTTTCGTCCATAGGAAGCAGTGCTATTCAGTACTGTACAGTAAAGGTCGCAGCACTGCGCAGGTTTTCAAAAAGGGCTTTTCCAAGTCAGTGATTGTGCAAATGCTTCTTCAGAAAATAATCGTGCAGAACGGAAATGTCGGTACCTCCGAAACCAAAGGCTGCCAACGTGGTGGAACACCATAAAAGCAGCCCCAAGAAGTTGTGTTGAGTGATGTGCATGTCGCAAACATAAAACACTAAAAGAAGACTTTAGTTCCACTCAAAAGCTGATGGTGGGTGGGGACCAGTGGTGGGGACGGGTCACACTTTGCTGTTTGGTGTGGGCAACAGGACCGATCATAAGACCCACTAGCGTTATTAGAGATTCATTAGTGAGAGAATTGTGAGAAAAATGAGACATTGGTGATATTCGGATGAATCCAATGATAACTAGAATGGTCAATTCAGAAATCCATTCGTAGTTCGCTTCTCCATCGTGTGAAACATCGGGAATCAGTACTGTAGAGAAACTTTTCTTTGTCGAGCGCATCAGGTCACCCATAAGGAAAGCTTTGGTATTACACGAACTCAGAAAAGAATATACAGAAACGCGTTTCATGATTAAGAAGGTCTTTGTTATCTGATAATTAGAAAGGAAGAAAACATGCGTTAGAAAGTGGAAATTAATTTCACCTGATTACAAGTGCCAACATAGTTAACCATGTAGTCGAGTTGTAATGCTGTACAAACGGACGTACACCAGGCGTCATAAAAAGTAGAAATGATACTGAAAAAAGACAATGTGAGACCATTAACCGATGCTGTTCCATGTTTCCACACTTCTGGGTACCGAGCTCAATGGAGCTGCTCACCCAAACAAATCGAAACATGATATCGTGTTAAAAACAAGTAATAGAGAAAGAAATAAGTCTGTTAAACTCACCAACTGCGACAGTGAACTGTTGAAATGTTAAGAGAAGGTAGACTTTTCTGAGATAGGCCGCCTTGACCGGTTTAGAACTTCTGGCTACGCATACCGTCTCATCATCGGATGAGGACATCTGAAATCGAATACAGCTGAACTGTTTCACTTGTATCCAATCCGAAATCTCACGAAAATCTTCACCAGTCAACCGACTTGAGAACCTGGATTGTTCTGGGTAATCTCTAGCTGAGTGGAAGTGTGCAGTACGTGCGCACGTTTAGCCAGTAGTCCTGCGCATCGGCGTCTCCTCAACGGGTCTGCGTATAAATCAGATCTCAATCGAAAACCGTTAACTTCTTTAGGAACTGAACAAAAGTTAGATGCATGGCGTACCCCAATCAGGATTGATCAGCGTCAAAAACCTCGTCTTGATCTCTAGCAAAATTAACTTTTACTGATATAGATTTTCGTAGTGTTAGAACCAGAGGAGCAGCCTGGCTCACAACCACGTCTCAGGTGTGTGCGAGGCGCTGAAGCAGCACCAAAGTAGTACGCACTCCTTCATTCGGGAGGGGGAAGAGAATTACTTTTTTGTGTTTTTCTATGTAAAAGTAGGTGAGTTTTTATGGAGTAATTTCCTTATTTTGGACGAACATACGCCTTGGAACTTCTCAGTTTCATTGTGGTAATGAAAGGATATGGCCCTCTGGACGATACATTCCCAACAACGCGATGTTCCAAATATCAAAGATCAGGACAGGTACTCTCAGGACCACATTTGATCAGGGAATCATGGTTGTACACAGAGGACGGAGAACATAAAAAAGCCTCCATTGTCAAAATTGGACTGATCACTTTCTGCGAGATTCAGACCAAATTTTCCCAATCAAAAATTGAAGAGCATACCCTAACTATTAGAATCTCCACTATAGCCTCCTACACCGATAACTTCACGGGCTGCATTCACTCCTTTCCCCGGGCGTGGTTCGTTAGGAAAGGAAGCGACTCTTCGCTTTTCGCAGCACGAAACTTTTTTCGCTGCGGGAACCCCAGGTCCACTCATGATCAGCGGTGGACCTGAGGTTCCTGCAGCGAAAAAAGTTTCGCGCTGCGAAAAGCGGAGAATTCACTTTCTGTCCTAGTGAATCACACCCAGGCTGAGGGAATGAAAAACCCCTTAATTAGTTCGCGTTCAACGATATACTTTCTTCAATTCCATCTTAGTGCAGTCCCGGTTGAGAAGAAAAAGAAAATATGAAGGGATTGCCGGCTCCCTTCTATTGGGGAAGCATTGAATATGGCACCAGAACTTGTCAAGGAAACAAGTTGCACCGCTCGAGCTCGATGATTTCCTCTTCGGATCGTGGACGATTACGACATTGTCTGACATGCTTACGGCAGAGGATCTTGCATAGACCTTCAGAGTTGTTGTCTCTGGGAAGCTGTCCATCACCGGATCGACTGAAGAAAATGAGTGACAGCTTCATGCTGGAGCAATTACTACCACCTTGAGCTCTCCGATATCGATGATACTTTATATTTCGAATACAGTGAAGGCAGTGAACGAGAATATGCATCTGCCTATTGGGGAACATCTAGAGAAAATTTTACCATGAAATTTACATCGACGCCGGCACCCTGTGCAAGGAAAAATTTGCCTGCGCAATAAGTTTTTTGTCACCTCCTGACCATAGTGTGGGCAGGTTGGCCCAGCGAGTCTTCCACCTGAGGAAAGCTTGAAAGAACTTCTCTAGGGTAAATTGTTATTTAGATGTATAGGGCTAGTCCTTTAATTGCAATTAGGTGGTGAACTGGTTCAACTTCTGGAATAAAATGACCTTAATAAAAGTCTTAATCAGTCGGTACCGGTAGTGGGAGATTGAGCTTTTGCGAGATCGTCCGAATTCTTCATGGAGCCAAACGACAGTTTAGCTTAGTTGATGCTAGTCAGCAAATGTCGAGACGATCGGATTTCACCGCTCGAAACAATATCAGCTTTTCGATGAGCTCAAAAATAGAGGTAGGAATGCGCGCGCAGAAGTTTCACCCAGCAGCAGTATTCACTGTTTAGCTGGGAAGAGAGGAGAGAGTTCGTTTTTTGCGAACTATATGATTGCAGGATCCAAACCAAGCAGCTACAAACACGAAAACACAATGTCATGAGCTGTGAAGCTAAGTACACTCGTCAGGTTCCCCTTTCTAGTACACCAAGCGTGATTTACCCTTTTTTTCCTCTATCTGCTCTTCAATCCTATTCTGCATTTGAGACAAAGATAATGTTGATCGTAACCATTTCTTTTCTTTGAACTCGTAAAAAATGTTTATTTGGATTTCGTATAACGTAATCCTTCGAATGATTGATATCAATGACGGTGAAGCGCCCTTGACTTCTTTCATATTGAAGACTTCCACCTTTGTGTCGGAAGCTAGAAGACGTCGCCTACCTTCATGGATGGCGAGTCAACTTTACGTGCAAGTCCTGACTACAATTGAAAGCATGTCCGAATAAGTAACCATGAAGTATGTCTCACTTGTCATCAACAACAAACAGAAAACTAGTCCTTTTCTTGGAATTTCTAGCATTTCTAGAAGATTCCCCACACCAGGAAAAATCACGGATACAGATTTGACATCAACAGCAACCCCTTCCAATCCTAAAGGGATCAACAGAGCGAAATCAAAAATATTTTGTAGAAATTAAAAATTCTTGTTGTAAAAATTTGGATCCGGGGGTTATTTTTGATTCTAGAAAGGATCTGCTAGAAAAATTCCTGGAGCTGCTTGTTTCAAAAAGAAAGAAATGCGAACTTGGAGAAAATGTATTTAATGAAGCACTCAATCGTCCCCCCCCTCCCCCCGTGCTAGCCACTGGAAACAGTGTGAATAAATGGTTGCAGTGCGGATTAAGAATGAAAACGGCTCAAAACTCATCGCTGGAAGGAAGCTGACATAAGAAGAAAAAGTGCGCAAAGAAAATGGATCATGCAAAAAGGGTGAGAAGTTGCAAGAAGATAAACTCACATCAAGCGTATAAGGCTAGAGAGAAAAAAATCGGGACAAATCAGTTGCAGCCGTACAAGCCGTTTCCGCGCTACAATGCCACTAGCGCATGCGTGGACGCGCTGCGTCTAACGGCAACTTTTCTATTTGTGGTCCATGTTTTTTTTCTTAGCATAGCTTGTTCGTAAGTCTTGCGGTTTTATTTGCTTATTTCAAGGGTCAGGTGATGTCTATAGCAGAGTTGAAAGGCACCACGTGTCTTTGCGACAGTGTGTGAACCTTTTCATTCCAAGTCGCATTCGTCCGTTTGCTCATGCACGCAGTTATACAGAAGGTGGGAGGAAGTCTTTTAATATCTTGTGAGAAGTTATATAGGTGAGGGAGACTGGAGCTCCCTGGAGAATGTGAGTATTTTTGTAACGGTGTGAGACGTGGAACTTGCTATGAGGTTCCCCAAAGGAGTTGGATTCTCTTAGATCCACATTTATGACATTCTATTCGACACAGCCACTATTCCAGCTGCATTTCTTAGATCCCCAAGGCATTTCCGGCTAACTTAGTTGGGGGGGCACGCGGCGCGGCGCGGCAGTCTGCTCACCTGGGCTCTCTCGAGCGAGACAGTGTAAACTCGAACATTCCAGCTTTTCACGCATGTCAAGTGACTGCCCCCACCCCCCCCCTAGACTGGCCTACACTCCCCCTGGCCCACGGATTTCCGAACATGCCAGGCGAGCAGACTGCCGCGCCGCCGCGTGGCCCCCCCACTAAGTTAGCACCCACCATTTCACGTTTTGCATGACCAACAATTTGTTTGGGTTGGGGAAGCTGCATGTTTCACTTCTCGTAACGAACTTACCTGTCTCAAATGTCCTCGGAATGCATTTTTCTTTTTCTTCGCTTACTCAATGACGTTTTTCATCACTGATTCACTTTTCTCGTTATCGATCTCAAGCATGAGTCGTTTTCAGATCAGCTCTTTGAAGCAATCTTATAGTGGTCGTGCGATGTGCTCAACGACTGTCATGGTTGGTACATCGACGTCATATCAGCTTATCGAATGTTTCTCCATCGTTATGGAGGAGGGCTTGGAAGAATGTGAAAGGATTTCTAACAGAGGTAAAGTTTACTTTCGGTTACTACGAAATTTAGTTGGGGGACAGTTGTATAGAAGAAGCGTGAGGATATTTCCGAACTTTACAGAGTGAAAGAGATAATTTTGATGAGGAATCGTTCGTAAAGCATACAGATCGGACGATCTTAACGAGAACGACTGGCTGCTCATCTATAGAGATCAAGGTACGCATATTGTTTGATTTATAGTTTCTGTTCTGTTTGATTTTTGGTTTGCTGCTTGAACGTATCTCTTTCTCAAAACAATCGCTAGCTATGCGGATGAAATAATTTTGGAAAACTTTTGTGCCTATGTCGTGAACCCCTTCCTGCATTTCTTTTTGGATGTGAACCTTCCTTTTTGTTGACTAACCCTTTATCTTGCATTTCACGGTGACCAAAAACTATCATTTCTTAATCGGAATTGATCATAATCAATCGGTTAATCCACCACGACTTGCCCTAGCTCCTCATGTTTTGTGTCGCGGTTACAAGATTCTTAAAACAAACACTTGCAAGCCGTCTTTTTCAAATATTTTTTATGTCCAGTACTGCGATACTCCCAAGAAATAACGCCGTCTTTCAAGTCCTATGTCCGATGACTACATAAAGGTTGATACTATCTAGTAAATAGCTGAAGATAGACAGTAAGAACAAGGGGTAAACAAATGAACATCATCCGAAAAGGGAAACATAGTTCATTCCCCAAACTGGTTCTGCAAATTCTTGCATATTTTTGCACAAACAGATTCGCATCACCCTTATGATAAACTGTTATTCCTACAGTATCGTTTAGTTGTTTTCCTGGATCCTTTCTGTATACTTTGAGATCACGTTTCATGGCTGCAAGAAAACGTTTATTCGTGCATTGGCACTAACTTAGTTGACCTCTTCACTTTAGTGTTCATTGTTCCGTCCGAAATAGGCTGTTGCATAACTACATTCAGGGTGCTCAGTTTCTTAGCTTACTCTGTATAACAAGTTATTCTTTCGGCGATATAGAAAGGATCTAGGCGGCAAGAGAGGTTTTTCCCAAATGATTTTCATACATGCCATACAGGCATTTCTTGGATGTTGTGACTACTCTTCTTATATTTTCAAGCTACAAGAGTTCACCCTTACAGGAATGTGCTCCGGTATATCAGGTTTTCAGGCGCATCCCGCTCGTTTTTTCTTATTTCTATCGTATTTCCTGCTTTAATTGTTGGCATTGGCGTCATCGGGTACAATACATATACTAATGATAGAAGGAATTGGTTTCCCTTCGTGCAACGGCTTGTTCGCGATGTAGAGGAGGTATATCATATCGCTGGTTCTCAAATTGAGTTCTTTAACTGCGTCTTTTCTTTATACTTGTGATGTCCTCTTAGGGTACATTCAGGTAGGCGTCTTCGCCATTTTCCCTGGAATTGCGATGGTACTGGTGATTATCACATTGATCCGGATGCACCAGTTACGAATAATGAGAATCTATCAGAATAGAAAGAGCGCTGACGAATACATGGCTATTGCTACGAAGAATGTGTTCAACAAGCACCAGGTTTGCAATTGATTACTCTGCTTTATTTGCAAATCAATGTTGAATTAAAGAGTATTCTGGATCGCACCACCAGGTTACCTCCTCACCTTAAATCAACTTTTTCGATGGGATGGTAGCGCTCAGAGCTGGCGAGAATGAATTTTTCGGCAGATAGTCTTTTTTCGTTTCTGATTACTGCCCGTAAAGCGAGTGGTGCGGGTTCTTCAAGCCTAGGGCAAAAAATTTGCTCGTATCCCAACATGTGATGAATGTCGCATGGCGAATCGCATCCAAAAAACCGCAGTCAGCAGTCAAAAACAAGTCAAAATCAATATCATAAAATTGTTTATCTAATAACGACAGGAATTTTGTTGCTGGTTTGTAGGAGACTTCTAATGTTCGAGTTCGTTCATGTTGAGTTCCTAATAAGTGCGCTTCTCCTCCACTGCTTGTCGAGGAATGTTTGGAAATGAGCAGTAATCCCTAATTCGCTTCCTTGAAGTGCCTTATAGTTCTTTTTCACTTACTTGCTTACTACAGTTTATTGGAAGCGTGAAACTGTTTTCGAAAAATGGTGATGAAAATTTGTGTTTGAGGGGCATACTGAGCTTTTTTCGAGTGCCCGCATAAAATGTTCTTCCCCATCTTTTGGAATGGGTCCGTTTGCGAAATACTTCCCATCTTTGATTTGCACTATTTTGTCGCTTATCCATGGCTCTACATTTCTATCTGATAAAAGGAATTAATGGAAAAAAGGCACAGTGACAGTGCCGTAGCCGTCGCCATTGCACAGTAGCCGAGTCTGACACCCATCTTACATGCTGTACTGGAATTTGTTATCGAGATTGTGAGGCTTACGATTCTGACATGGTAGAAAAACTGCCAGAACGCATTAACTGACGTAACATCGGCCGAATTCAGTGTCATAACGAGTCATTGCTAGCAAATCAACTTTGCGCTGACAAATCCACCCTATTTATGATGTCACTTTGTTGAATATGTTCATATGTAACTTTCTAGATAAACTTCAACCGAGACTCCGCAGCTGCTTGTTATTTCGCGGAAGAACAAAAAGACTTGTATAGGCTTCTAGCTCACATATCTATTGGTAATATGCAGGTGTGTTCATAAGCATTTTCCCTTTATTATAGTTTGGGTGCATTAAAATAGCTCTGTTGGAGACTTTCATTATCAAAT